CAGAGCTTTGGATCCCTAACAGAGCACACTGGACAAGCAAGCTGATGTACTGAGGTTCTTCACAGCTCTGGAAAGCTTGACCCCCCTCCAGCCTGTCTCTCATATGATGAACATTACATTATTTCCTAGTCAGCTGACCACAGAAAAGTAGGGAAAAAAAGAATAGCTAAATAGGTCATGTGCAGCTAAAATCTCTGACCTTGGCCTCATTAGCACCCATGCAGAGGCCACCCAAGAGAACAGAGGCAACGGCCACACAGTGAACAGAACATTGTTTCTACAACCAGCAATTCTTCATTCCAAATAGCACACTTGTTCCAGCCCTTATTCCTCAAGGTCTGTGTTTAGCAGTGGGTATGAAGGACACTGGAGAATATAGAGACAAACCCACGCGGTCACACCCTCCACGGTGATGATATTATTTCCAGTATGCTAAGTCCCATCACTTGGAGTACAGTGGTAAACAGATGCCATTTAATTGTTATCAATTTCTTCTCCCTTCTCATTTGTAAAAATAACATTTTTATTTTCATATTTGTAGTCATAAATCTTCCCACGACAGTAAGGGGAGTGAAATATCAATAAACTCATTGCCAAAACAAGAACCTTTCTTTTAAAAGTTTGCTTAGAACATGACCTGAACATGAACATGAAGAGATGATGTGGGAGTGATTTCTTATTAATAAAGAAACTGCCTTAGCCCATTTGATAGGCCCACCCATAGGTGGGTGGAGTAAACAGAAGAGAATGCTGGGAGAAAGAAGCTTAGTCAAGGAGTCGCCATGATTCTCCCACTCCAGACAGACACAGGTTAAGATCTTTCCTGGTAAGCCAGCTCGTGGGCTACACAGATTATTAGAAATGGGTTAGATTAATATTTAAGAGCTAGCCAATAAGAGGCTACAGATAACGGGCCAGGCAGTGTTTAAAAGAATACAGTTTCCGTGTAATTATTTCGGGGCATAACCTAGCCATGCGGGCGGCCAGGTGCCGGGGACGCAGCCCCGCCGCTCTTACCGCTACAAAGAGATAAATACCCAAATACAAATCTGAGAGAAATTCACTCATCTGAAATCAAAGAAACCAAACCAAATTGCTAAAGATATAAAAAATTAAACCAAATTGTGACCATTCACACCCCAGATTAGCAAAATTTAAAAGTACATATTTTTATTTAGGTGTATGTGTGTTTAGAGCACCAGAAGGGGGTGTCAAGTAGTTGCAAGTCACCTGTTAGGGTGCAGGGGACTGACCTCAACTCTGGGTTCTCTGCAAGAGCAAGACAGTCTCCAGACCACTGAGCCATCTCTCTAGCACCAAACATTTGTGAAAGGATATTTGCTGTTGCTGAGGGCACAGTAATCTGTGTGTTTTGAGTGTGTGGGAGGGGTGTGTGCAAATGGATAGTTCCTTTCTCAACAGTGCTTAGGAGCCCCACCGGATGGTACCTGCCTTTAATCACAGCAGTGCAAGGCTGAGCCAAGAGGTTTGACAAGTCAACCTAGACCACACAGCTAGATTCTATCCCAGCAAGGCAAAACAAACAAATGATGAGATAATAAGTAGTAAGAGCTCTGAAATTCTATGGACTGATAGTTTCACTTCTTGGGACTCATCCTAATGACATAAGCAGAGGCCCATACATATACATCTAATGCTATTTATATAGTTTTACTCACGATAACATGTTGAATTAGATGTTTGTTTGATGGGACATTAAGTACATTGGGGGTTGAAGTTTGCACAAACAAACATGAATAAAATTGTATGTCCAGGTATTTGAGGCACAGAGAAATGTCACATCTGACATGGGTGTGGAGAACTGAACTTGGATCATTGGCAAGAACAGTAAGTATTCTTAACTACAAAGCCATCTCTCCAGCCCAATATACTACTTTATCATTAATCAGCACTCATGAGCAGTTATCACACTTACTACATTGTAACTTAAATTTTATCAGTATAAGCTATTAGTTTAATATATTGTCAACAAGTAGTAATGGAATTCCTAAGGCTTACCCCTGACAAAGCTTTAATAACCTGGTAAGTGAATGGTTGTTTGTCTCTTTCTAGTAATCTTTGGTTTGTATTCTAGTTTAAACCCTTTTCAAGCAAAGGCTGTCGTAGGTAGAATTGTGCAGGTGGGCGCCTTTGAAAACACAGTTCCCGTCAGGGAGAATCAATGGCCATCAAAGGAATGTCGTAGGAGGAATGAAGGAATGGTAAATGACACGAGGCTCTGGTCCCACCTGCCAAAGGCTCCTGACCTGCTCCTGAAGCCTCAGTCCCACGCTCGGATGATGGGATCCATCCTAACGGCTCCTTAGACAATGCTGCTCTCTAAGGATCCCCCAAACTCCACAGCTGGATCCACTGACATTCCACGCTCCAGGTGTCACTGGCCCCTTAAACTACTGGCAGCTCAGTGCAAGTATTTGCTGCACTGACAACGTCTAGGTCTAATGTTATGATTAATAGATAACAAAGTGCCTTCTTTAAGTAAGGGGTAAACAGCCAAGCCAGAAAACAAGCCAGAATGGTGTATGTTGTTAGTGGCGTGCGCATGTGTAGAGCTTTCTCCCCGAAGAAGAACTGTGTGTTTTATCACGAACAATGGGCCGTCATTTCCCTCTCTAATCTTAATTATTAAATAGCTGCACAGCTCCAGTTTAAGTCCTGAGACAAGAAGTTCTCACGAACTTGTCCCCATGTTGTTCACTGTGGAAGCCATGAAGAGCATATGCACTCTGTGAAGCGATGGCTTTGGTAAGACAGGCATCACTGACCTGACTTTTCTTCAGGTAGCAAGGGCAACAAAACAGATGGGAAACCAGGCTAAAATAACAAGCGGTCTTGGCACACTGTTAATGGTGGGCAAGAGAGTGGCAGGGGGAACACAGTGTCAGATGCCATGTGCTTCAGGGTTTAAACAACCATCGCCTCTCCTAACCCCATTTCCTTCATCTCCACTAGGGTCGGGGACACACACACCTCCAAATTCTGTGTCACACGAACAGAACTTTGGTTACTCCACTGCATTTTTATGAGACTCTAAGTACCTCATTGACATTTCTTTATGATTACAAGTTATTAAGAAAAGATAAAAAGCAAGTAAGATTTTTCTTTTTAATATTCTGTTTGAGGGGAATGTAAAATCTGCAATAGTTTGAAACTTTCTAATTTTATCCCATTAGCATAAGCCAACTGTCCCAGGAGAAGCTTCTATTAAACTTATTGTTATTATTACTTTTTTAAAATTTAAAATACCTTTAGAATAAAAAATCAACATATTCTAAAAATGTGAAGGCTCAAATTATTTCATGTAACTTTTACTTACTAAGAGTCATGAAGTTATTTCAAAAGAAAGAAAAGGTTCCTGGTGACCTCGCGGTGATAATGGAGCGGCTGATGCGCCACCTCCCCCAGAATACGCTCGCTTCCATTCTTTCTTCTTGACTTCTTCAGCCAGCGAGTACCTTAGTGCCTGCTCACAGCAGTATGACGGCGCAGAAGAGCCAAGCTTTGTCAGTTATACTATACAGGAAGAGCCAACCACAGCCAAAGACTCCCAAGAAAGTGGTCTGACAATAAATCTTTGTGTATCTAAATCACATGCTCTAAAAGTTGTCAGAAAATATAGTTATAGAAAGTAAAGGTAATAAATACATTTTAAGTAAGATCCTCCAAACGCAAATTAATAAAAAGGGGGTGGGGGGCTGTGTTTAAAGTATGTAGTAGAGTCAGAAGGTGGGTCTTCCTTTCCCTGGCCTCTGGCTTTAAGAAACTAGTATCTCCCAGCATCCCAGCATTCATCACGCTAGCCAGGCTCTGGAAGCCAAGGCTCCACTAGGAAGATAACCCTTCCCACCCAAGAGGTGAAAACTAACATCTGTTACAACCTAGAGAAACTGCAGCAAGGATTTGGCCACAGTCTGGGGGAGGGGGGACTTCAGAGATAAAGTCTTGGCTTATCAAGTAAAACCCACACAGAACAATCGTTTCAGCCCAGCACTATGTTCTGAACTCTCCAGATTAGTTACCGTCAAGTCTCGCCAAGCTCATTAAGGCAGAAACTGGCCTCCGACCATGCTCCCTGTCTGCTGCTTCCAAAGGAGACGACTCTCCCAGCAAGGACAGGGGACCTGCAGGAGCCACTAACTCCTGGGCTTTGGTTGCTAACAGTAAAGATGGGGTTTATTTTTAAATTGCATGCCACAAAACAGATTTGTAGTATCTTTTCAGATTTGCTTTTTTTTAACTGAAATATTGACCCATTATCTATTTCCTTTGCATATCTCCAAAGGCTAGTTAACCTTTCCTAGTGAGGGAACAACATCCAGCAGGCCTCTGGAAGCCACGACCTCTCAGATGAGTTACCAGATAACTCGGATGAGCCTGTCAAGCCCTCCAGAGCTTGGGGCTGCTCAGGCATGGCCCATGTTCCAAGAGGTTGGAAAAACAAACTTTCCTCTCCCTACAACTGAGTTCCCTCACTACCCTATCTCCCTAAGTCCCTAGCGCCCTCTGGACCCTCACCTCCCAGTCTTGGCAGCAGAGGGTTTGCAGCAGGAATGTCCCACAGATTAAAGGCCTCTGTTCAACAAATATTTGCTTGCCCACTGCAGTAGGAGTGAAAGTTTGCCCCATGATGGTCTGCCTAGCATAACTGGGAGACACCTTCAGGAAGTTTGCCCAAGCGATGAGGAAGATTAGACCTACTATCAAGGTACGTCCAAAGATACAGAACATTGTGGAAAAACCAAAGAAAAATTTCAAACTCCCAATTTTACAGAAAAAGTCCAACACAACTCCCATGAAAAAAAAAAACCTTCACAAGACTCCCAAAGTCCTTTCTGTAGGTGTTCCTGTTATATTAGATGGCTTCGGTCCACCTGACAAAAGACTGGTTCCTTGAGTTTTAGTTACTTGGGCTGAATATACTTTTATCTTTTCTATCCTCTATGCAAAGCGTTTCAGGATGCCAGAATCCCACTACTCACCTCCCTCTCAGGGCTCCTCCCATCTTCTAAAGCTCACTCCCAATCCCTAGATATCTTTCCTTTCCGAGTCTGAAAAGACAAAATTCCAAAGAAAGAAAACACGAATCTGTAGGAGAAACAGATTAACTGTCCCGGACAGGAAAAGCCTGGAAGTTGTGTGGTCCAGCCAGAGCCAGCCACGCAGACTTGGGCAGACAGACCACAGCGGAGCACAGATGAGACCCGGCTGGGGCACCGCCAGGCTGAGCTGGCTGAAGTTCCCCGCTAGATATTTTCCTCCCTAAGAAGAACCCGAGGCTCTCTCAGCCTCTTCGGCCAGAGACCGGAGGCGGGAGGGGTGCGTGGAGGCCGGAGTCCCGGGTCACCGGCTGCGGGCGGGAGGGGGGGGGTGCGAGGAGACTGTGGCTGGCTGGTCTGGGCGTGGGGACGCGGGCGGCTCAGTCCCGTTGAGCCGCTTAGCGGACTGCCAGCCACTCCCCGGCGGGTGGCGGGGCCGGGCGGGGACCCGAGCGGGCGCGGCCACTCCCGACGTCCCATCGCCGGTCCCGCGGGCCAGGGCGTCGTGGGAACCGGGGTTGTCAGTCCTGGGATGGAGGGTCCGCCAGATCGCGGCACGGGACGAGAAAGAGGCCCACGCAAGACCCGCGCCCCCACGAGAGCCAACGCCACCCTGGCCTCCTCCCCGCGCCGGGCACCTGAACGGGGACCTCAGTCCGCGGGACGTGGGGCCGGGCTGCCACCCGCGGCGCGGGCGTCCCTTCACGCTGAGGCAGGGACCCAACAATGTCCGGGCTAGAGAAGTTGGGGGCGCGCGCGGGAGGCTGAGGTGGGGCCCGTGGGACGCCAGGGGGGTGAGCCGAACGCACAGCTGCCAGGACTTACCGAGCGGTCCCCGCATACTGTCCCGCGCCGCAGCCGCTGCCGCTTCGGCTGGCCTGGGACCAGCACGAGCCGCCCCGCCTGCTACTACCCGGCGGAGCATGCTCGGGAGCACAGCCGCACGCCCCGCCCGCCGCCCCACATCGCTCCGCCCACCGCCCAGCATCGCTCCGCCTACCTCCCCAACCAGGCTAGGTCCTCTGGGAGAACAGGCTTAGGGAGAAGGCTGCACCTGGACCCAGGCTGCGTGAACTTCAGAGACAGAGTTAGAGAACAGAGCAGCCTGCACACGGCTGCCCATTCTTACCCCTCGTGTTTGGACCATGTCAACCCTAGGAAAATGTACACACACACACACACACACACACACACACACACACTGGCACGATGGTGGGAAGCAGTGATAAGATAGCAGACTAGTCTTTTACAGACCAGGAGCCCTGGAGATCCACTGTTCCATCCTCTCCTGGGGGAGGTGAAGAGGGCAAGGATGGGGGTAGCGTGTGTAGGAAAGGATTTGCCACGTGCAGGGTGTGGACATAGAAGTCAGACCCCACTGAACACTCCTGACACCAACCTGGCCCCCCTTTTCACTCTTGCAACAGCAGACAGAGAGCTCAAACTGCTGTACAGACGTGCTGAAGTTCAGGCTCTGGAAAGCACAAAGAGGACATAAAATGGTAAACTTTGCCAAGGAGTGGGAAAGAGTTCAGGAACATTGGCTAACCCAGAGACCATTGTGTTGACACGTCTGTCTAGAGCCATCATGCAGGGACGAGTTTCTTCCGTGGTTCTGGTGAAGGCTGGATGTCTCAGCAGCCCCACTGTGATGACGGACTTCCAGGGAGGGCCTCACCAGCTTCAAATTTCTGGTCTGCACTGGAATCCTGAAGAAGTGGGTTCTAACACCAGCAAAGAAATAGATCAAGAACAGAACAGAGAACTGCCCAGTGAGAGGGAGGGCACGCATGCGAAGAGCAGAACCCTCCTTCCTCCGTGGCCTTTATTCCGCCTGCTACCAGGAGCTGTGTCCAGATTCAGGGTGGGCCTTCTGACCGCTAGTGATCCAATCAAGAAGAATCCCTCACAGGTGTGCCAGCTGCTTGAGGTTTAGTTAATTCCACATATAGTCAAGTTGACAACCAAGATTAGCCTTTGAAGATACCCATGAGTACCTCTTTTCTAAGATACAATCACATAGACTCCATTTCCAAAGACTCCACGTATCTGTGTCCTTGTATGCCTACCCACAGACAGCCAAACATTCCTGCAAGACCATTTATCAGCTTCTGAACTGAGATTAAAATGTGTCTGCCCACAGAACAATGTCATGTTGTGGAGTTCTGGGATCAATCCCACCAAAGTTCCATAATGAAACTAGGATGCCATACAGCTTCCGCAGAAAGAAACACTGACGAGATACTAAGAAGCTGACAAAAAAGAAGAAGAAGAAGAAGAAGAAGAAGAAGAAGAAGAAGAAGAAGAAGAAGAAGAAGAAGAAGAAGAAATAATCTTTTAGCAAAAAAAATTAGGCAAGACAGAATTAATCAGGAAAAGGAGTGATACTGAAACTCTTCCATTCAAAAGAAGGCAACTTCGCAATTTCGAGAATTTTTCTGTTTCCTTGGCCCTCCTCGACCCCTATCTAAGTGTTGGGTCTCCCCTTTGTTCGGGATTGGTGTAGCATGCGCCCGGCTCCAGCACATTTTAGCAATATCTAAGGCTCGGTTTCACACAAGAAACAGAGGCAAACTGTAGGAGACTGTAGTAGCACGGGTAGGGGTTGGAACTACAGGAGAGGGTCAGGAACAGAGGCGGGGAGATTTTGAAGATCTGAGAACTGGAAAGTAAGGTTCAAATGGACAGATGAACGTGATCACCTGGACAACAGGTGTAAGAAGACAGGTGGAGGTGAAAGGTAGTGGGAAAGTCACTTGTAAGACACTTGTCACCACTGTGCAGACACGTTGTGAAAACAGACACACGTCAATCAGTAAGGATCTAGAGCCTGTACCCCAGCACCCAGGAGGCTGAGACAGGAGGATGACAAGTTCATGTCAACTGCATAACAAGATCCTGTTACAAAGATAAATAAACACATAAATACAGAATAAGTAAAATGTAAACAGTCTGTGAAAACATTTATAAAAGTAAGCATATATGCATGCAGTCTACTTGATATGCACATTTATACGCATACACATGCTTATAATTATGGATTCATATTAGAGAACATTTCTTCATAAGGCAGGCTGTGGCAACACAGAAAACACCTGTATATATTTTAATTTGAGGCATGCCTTCTCCAACCTCCCAGGCTCATAGTTGCCATACGCTCTCCAGAAATCTTCAGTTCTTTTCCTCTCTGAAGTTGAAGGGTTAAATTGTGGGGAAAATACCCATTGGTTATGAATTGTAAAATATACAATATGGTGGAAAACAACTTTCGTCACAATAATGTTAGAAACATAAGCTGGAGAGGACATGCCGGGTCCCAGCCCGGATGTTCAGTGTCCCCACCTTCCTCGGAATCCTGGACAAGAGATTTCACAGACTCAGGAAGGAACTTAGACTATTGAGTCATGGGGCAGATGTGCAAATGACTAGGGAAAGAATACTTAAGAGTCTGCTTAAGGAAATTAAAATAAAAAAGACGAAGCCCTGGCTTCTTTAACTTGATGCCTTTTCAAGGCTCCAGAGCAACCCGTGTGCACCCTTCCTTCAGTTCTGTCTCTGATGACCATAAAGCGTCCTTTGGTTAATTTAGATAGTCTCTGATTTTTTTTCGCCTTTAGTCTATAAAATGTTCCCATTTGTCATCTTTGTTTAAAAAGATGAATGTTATTGATAAAAGCTTGTTTCCCGCTTGTTGATGTTGTGGAAAGGCAACGGTGGCTACGTACAGAAAAGAAAGGGCGTTGTGTCAACAGGGCCATAACGCTTGATTAGCTTGATTAGGTATTGATACGTGTCCCAGCCATTCAGACGCTGGACTCCCTCATTAGCTTGCCATAAACTAGACATCAGTTTTCCTGAAGTTTTCTAGAGTCCAGGAGCCACGGAAAGAGTTTGGCTAGTAGCTTCCTGGCTTTATTAACAAACTACATGATCAGAGTTCTCATTGTGTGTGTGAGTTTCTGAAATCTGCCCTCCAAATGTCCAGACCATTCCTGAACACAGCAAACTTTGAGAGACAAGGACCAGATCAAGCACAAAAACTGGAAATACCTACCATGTGTAGAGTACCTAGGTTCAATGTGCAGAACCAGAAAAAAAATGTACTGGAAATTGAAAAGTTTCTGCATCCTGATAAACCTCTCCACCGATGCAATAATCTGAATTAGATCAAATCAAACCAATTTAGAAAAGGCCCAGGTTTAATGGATACCAATGCTCCTGGGTGACTTTCCAGTCCCCCTGAGAGGAGCCAGGGAAGAAAACTGGAAAACCATGTGGTTATTCTCCGGGATGCAGCTTAAATCTCTGGTTCTCTGGTGAGGGGTCATTGTTTGGTGGGCTTTCTTGGGGATGGGGGGGTGGAGTCTGAACTGAGGCAACGCCCAGGGGAGGAGACTGGGGATGGAACTTCCACCTGAACATTCCAGACTCTTTGGATGTATGGATGCGAGGTGCTGGGGTGACACTTCCAACCAAACAGAAGTAAGCTGTGCTGAGAGTCTAGAGTGATTGGCATTTAACACACACTGAGAATGCAGTAGCCATTGGCATCACTGTGTGAACAAGCAGAGTCTACAGCACTGTCTTCCATGATGGCTTAGACTTAACACTGAAACATATTTCACAAACGTTGGGACTAAGGAAAGGTAAACAGTTTTCAATTACACTTAAAAAAAATCCGCATGGTTACTGCAGGAGGGGAAAAGCCATTTTTAATTTTTAATTATTGGCTATCTATATGTCTGATTTTTCCCATGTAGGGCTACACGGGAGAACAGCTACTCCCCATCTCCCAGACTGTCAGCTCTCACCACGGTCGCTGGTGGTGGGGGCCACAGTCCAAGCACCCCTGGCCTGCATTCAGTCATGCCTTGCCAGACTCTTAAGGAAAACTCTTGAGTGCTGGTCTCTCCTGGGAATGGTTGGGTCTGGCTGGTGTCTCCCTAGGACAGAGAGATGCCAGGGTAGATTTTAGCAGACCGAGGTTTGACCAACAGTAGAGGGGAACCTCAGGCTCCCTCTTTCCTTTCTAATACCAGTCAATCAAGAATCAATCAAAATTAGTTCAGTACTTTTTAACTCCACGTGACTTTATTTTTGAAATGGGAAATATGTGGGAGTCTGCAAGATGACTCAATAGGGGAGGTTCCTGCTGTCAATCTTGACAACCTGGTTCTGAACCTACAACTCCAATGGTGGAAGGAGTGAACCGACTTCAGTAAGTTGCCCTCTGATCTCAATTTGTACACTATGGCATGCATGTGCACACACACACACACACACACAACCAGGTAAACAAATGTAAATACAATTAAAACGGGAATTATGTGACAATTGAAGGGGTAGGGGTGCAGAGGTGATATACCTACTTAGTATTCTTGTGGCCCCAGTACTGCAAACAAGCAAAAATAAGCTGTTTACCAATATTATAGTAAGAACGCCCCAGGGCTGGGAATGCTGTTCCGTTCACAGAGAACTTACCCCGGATTCCATCTCCAGCCCTGTGTGCAACTTGTAATTCTGGATGTGGAGATTAGAAGATTAGAAGTTCAAGGTTATCCCAGGGCTAGTTTTTGCTACATACTGAATTTGAGGCCATCCTGGGCTGCATGAGGCTCCATGTCAAAAATAAAATAAAGTAAAAGCTTCTGTTAATAAGAGAATATGAGGCATATTTTGTTAAATCTGTGACATAAAGCGAGACAAAATGACATTAAGGTGGAGAGAGGCAGTAGGATTACTTTTCTGTAGATATAATTGAGACCCACAAGAGCCTGGAATAAAGGTAACAACTATTTATTAATTTGGGGGATAAACTCACAATAAGGGCAGAGAGCTGTGGTCCTCTGTGACTGCTCGAAACAGCAAACAGAACTCTGACCACCAACCAAGCAAATACATGTTTTCTGTCT